ACTTCCTTGCATACGGATGACAGCTGCGTATGACTATATTTGTTTTCTGGTGCCTTGACTTCCAGAGACAGTCGTAAACACTGTGTATCTGCCTCGAGGGTGCTTGACCATTTTAACACAACATGGTGCGATCATCCCCCTTGCGCGGAGGGAGGGTTCTCCACCCCGCACAACATTACCTACTCGACCACCAATCAATACTGTTACCGCCAAAATATAACAGAGGAAAAAAATATGACGGTAACCTGGTTGCAGAGTTCACGAAGTGAATTGACTTGTTTCACGACTTCGTTGCCAAGCGTTTAAAACCCAATCCCGATGGCAAACACCGGGGGGGGGTGTACTTATAGTCGTGCATGCCGTAGTCGTTAGACCATTGACCTCGCATCCCTACAAAGCCGGGACGGAGCACGCCGGGTTCTCACCGGACCAGGCTCTCACATCACCAAGCGCGAAGCGCCGTGAGATATTCGGCGAGTCGCATGAAGGGTGCGCTGCATCCTGCTAAGGGTGTTCGGCATCTTGTGCTTACTTCCTTGCGTACGGATGACAGCTGCGTATGAATTAATTTATTTTCTGGTGCTTTCACTTCCAGAGACAGTTGTAAGCACTGTGTAACTGCCTCGAGGGTGCTTGACCATTTTAACACAACGTGGTGCGATCATCCCCCTTGCGCGGAGTGAGGGTTCACCCCGCACAACATGATCTACTCAACCATCATTATGGTTACCGCCCAAAAAAAATAAACGGAGGAAAAAAAAAAAAACGGTAACCTGGTTGCCGAGTTCACGAAGTGAATTGGCTTGTTTTACAACGTCGTTGCCAAGCGACGAAAACCCAATCCCGATGGCAAACACCGGGGGGGGCGGCTTGTTTTACAACGTCGTTGCCAAGCGACGAAAACCCAACCCCGACGGCAAACACCGGGGGGGGCGGCTTGTTTTACAACGTCGTTGCCAAGCGACGAAAACCCAACCCCGATGTTAAACACCGGGGGGAGCGGGGGGGGCGTATACCCATGTATCCTCGGGTTTTCTGCTGATGCTTCGGTGCGTGGGCGTCCCGCTATCGCATGGTGTGCATCACCACTGACGCTGCTGGCGCTGTGGAGCTGTGGCGATCCCCGAGAGATGGTAGACACCCCGCACACAACAGGGTCATCTTCGCAATCTTCGCATGCATACCCTAGGAGCAGCGGCTGATGTTGTAGCCCGCCAGTCGCCCGTGTGGCCGATTGGTCCAGTAAAAAAGAAACTACAACAAGAGACCAAAGCTAACGAGTAGATTTGCCAGATTATGTTCCCTGTTGTGCAGTGCTAGAGAAGGCGGCAAGGGCAAGTTCAAGGCAGGTGGTTCAATGTGAAACCTGGTCAATGACCTGTTCCAATTAAATTGGACAGATTTCGAGCTTTGATCGATGATACTGGAACTACTTTTGGTAGGTTTTGGCGCTACGCGAACAAGGCTGTGCTTGTTTCCGTGTGTTCCTGTAGTAGCACGGCTGGGTAAATATGGGCCGGCATCGATGACGAGGAGATAGATGCGGAACGGGTTCACGACCGTGAGGCACGTTGTTTGTTTGCCAGACATCTACTACTACTGCAACACTATACTTCGAAGTAGTAAATTTCGACGATTCAGGGTAACTGTTCGAATATCTTCTCCCTCCGGGGAGAGAAGAAATTCGAACAGTTACCGTGTACTCATAGTCGTGCATGCCGTAGTCGTTAGACCATTGACGTCGCATCCCTGCAAAGCCGGGACGGAGCACGCGGGGTTCTCACAGTACCAGGCTCTCACATCACTAAGCGCGAAGCGCCGTGAGATATTCGGCGAGTCGCATGAAAGGTGCGCTGCATCCTGCTAAATAAAGGTGTTCGGCATCTTGTGCTTACTTCCTTGCATACGGATGCCAACTGTGTATGACTTAGTATAATTTCTGGTGCTTTCACTTCCAGAGACAGTTNATACGGATGCCAGCTGTGTATGACTTAGTATAATTTCTGGTGCTTTCACTTCCAGAGACAGTTGTAAGCACTGTGTAACTGCCTCGAGGG